GGACCGTGATGAGGGGTGGCTGGATGCGCTTTGTGCGGGATCATCGGACCTGTCCGACTCACAGCGTGATAAACTACGAACTCTTCTGCGCGATGTTTCCGATGTTTTTAGTCGACACAAATATGATATTGGCTGTACTAAACTGCTGCGACACCATATTGACACGGGTGACAGCGCGCCAATCCGTCAAAATCCTTTTCGGTTGAGTCCCGCCGAAAAGGATCATGTTAAATCGGCGGTAGACGACATGCTAGCTGCGGACATTATATCCCCTTCAACCAGCCCTTGGGGTGCACCCATCGTGTTAGTTAAAAAACACGACGGCTCCTTGCGGTTTTGTGTCGATTTTTGTCGGCTACACAATTTCTCGGGTAAACTTCTGCACGAGGTGTGCGAGCTCCTGGGTACGAAAAAAATCCGTACCTCCCCATATCATCCGCAAACTGACGGGATAGTGGAGCATCTGCATCGGACTATCACGTCCATGCTGTCTCATCAGGTGTCTGAATCCCAGACCGACTGGGACCTTCATATTCCGGGGGTTTTGGCGGCCTACAGAATGGCTGCTCATGCGGCGACCGGATTTTTGCCCTTCTTCCTAATGTACGGTCGTGAGGCTAACCCGCCTGTCGCGACTCAGCTGCGGATCTCCGCGCCGCATGCTAAATCCAAATTGGCCGACCATGTCAAATTCAACATCTCTAAATTGACAGGGGCGCGGGAGGCGGCCATCCAAAATTCAGACCGTCGCCAGAAGGCGAATGAAAGGCTCAAGCTGGGCCGGGTGCATGTGCTCCAGTCGAAACCGGGTGAAAAAGCGTGGTTGCACTGTCCCCAAGTTCCGCTGGCGACCTCGTCCAAGCTGTTGCGGCCGTGGCGGGGGCCCGTGGAAGTGATGCAGGTCTTGCGGCCACAATGTGTACGTATCCGGTGGGGGAAGCGTCGGTGGTTCGTGCACCCCTCCAGGTTGAAACCGTTCGTTGCGCCCCATGTTTCTACTCCACACACACATGGCCAAACATGTAAGGGGTCCACCGACTTCCGGAGTCCGACTTCGCTGCATTCGCCTGATTTGCCACCGACTTTTCCGCTTCCAGGTGCACCGGGATTGACGTGCTCGCGACTGCCAACCCCTCCCGGGGGGGTCGGGGGTCGCTCGTCGGCGAAGCCAGACACTCTCGCACCCGAACTATTGACACCCACCGCCGGGCCGGCCGGGGCTGCCCCTTGTGACTGTCCCGCTGCAAGAACGCGTGCCAAAACACGCAGACTTTTGTGAGGTCGGCCTCTCATGCAGCCCTTGCTGGGGTCGCGGGGTGGGGGACCTGGAAATTGTACATATGTTGGTTTCTTACGGGATGGGGTATTTATTGGGGGGAGTACGTCGGGTTATTTTTCTCTCTCTCCGTAGTGTTGTTGTTGTTACTGTTGTTGTTGTTATTGTTGTTATTTACGCGGGGCACACACGGGTTTGGGGGGGATGCATCTTTATTGTGAATTTTTTTGCAGCCGGGACGGCTGCGGGCTGTACGGGGGGGGGGGGGGGGGGGGTGATTTAGGGGTGTTACGGGAAAGCGAACAAACACACCAGGGGTGGTTATGCCTGCACGCGGAAGGATGCTTATATCCACGTCCACATCGGTTAGCCCTGGGGGGCTGAAACGGCGCTGTGATCCCGCACGGCCCCACCCCTCAGGGAGGGAGTTGCTATATAAGGCGGTGAGCCGGTGGGCTCGGGGTTCAGTGTTTAGCTTAAACCAGTGAAGAAAGAAGACCGGCTAGATAGGCCCTGGGACTCCCCTGAATCGCTGTCCTTCTAAGGACCGACCAGGACAAGCCAGTGGCGTGGCTCCGAGAGCCCAGAGCCGATGCTCTTGTAGGAGCCGGTCTGGTGACTAAGGGTGCCGTGATCCTAGCTTGGCCAGAGCTGGGTCAGCTAGCCTCCCCTAGCTCTCGAGTGAAGGACCTGGGAGTAGGCTAGCCGGGATAGAGATAGTGGGATTTCCCTGTTAGACGGGTGAAGGGGCCGATACCACTTCAAGTGTTGTATACCTTGGCCTGTATTGAGTGAAACATTTAATAAATAAGTGTGCCTCCGACTACGTCGTCCACGTCTCATTGAACCTACTATACACTAGTACGGTACATTTCATTAAAGCGTGTTTTAAGCACATACATTTTTAAATATTACTTATTTAGATGTTGACGATGCTGATGTTTATCTGCCTCCGTCTTGCCGTCCCTGCGCGTCTCCCGCTCACACCAGCAGCACCTTCAACGTGTGAGAGTTGGTGAAGTTGTTGTTGATGATTGTTGTTGTGAATTATACTGGTAGGAACCTCCTGCTTACACCAGCCCACATGGGATTATTGTGTCCATCCGTCGTGCAGGGAGGGGCTGGGTGGGGAGGGTGGGGAGGGGAGGGGCTGGTCACCCTGTGGTGCCCTTATAAAACTCAACGTTTAACCTACTCACGCCGGCTTGTGCCGCCCTCACAGTCGGCCATATTTGCGGAATACACCACGCCGCCGTTGACCCTGGCCATTGACCGAGCAACCCAACGTTCCTACCAGCTCCCTCCGCAGCAGGAATGTGTTTGTTGATTGTTGTTGATGTTGTTGATTGTTGTGGATGATGATTGTTGTTGTTGACAACGATGCTGGGTGTCTCTGGCTTGCCTCTGCGCGTCGTCTCCCACTCACACCACCACCACCATCACGTGTGGCAGTTGCAGGACTGGTGATTGTTGTTGATTGTTGTGGTTGATGATTGTTGTGGTTGATGATTGTTGTGGTTGATTATTGTTGTTGACAATGATGCTGGTGGTGCCTCCGTCTCACCTCTTGCAAGTCTCCCACTCACACCACCACCACCACCACCACTAACCACAACCAACCATCACCACCCACCACCACCACTAACCACCACTAACCACCACCACTAACCACCACTAACCAACACCACTAACCACCACGAACAACCACCACTAACCACCACCACCAACCACCACCACCACTAACCACCACCACCACCACTAACCACCACTAACCACCACCACCCACCACTAACTACCACCACCACTAACTACCGCCACCACCACTAACCACCACCACCACCCACCACCACCACTAACCACCACTAACCACCACCGCCCACCACTAACTACCACCACCACTAACTACCGCCACCACCACTAACCACCACCACCACCCACCACCACCACTAACCACCACTAACCACCACCGCCCACCACTAACTACCACCACCACTAACTACCGCCACCACCACTAACCACCACCACCACCCACCACCACCACTAACCACCACTAACCACCACCGCCCACCACTAACTACCACCACCACTAACTACCGCCACCACCACTAACCACCACCACCACCCACCACCACCACTAACCACCACTAACCACCACCGCCCACCACTAACTACCACCACCACTAACTACCGCCACCACCACTAACCACCACCACCACCCACCACCACCACTAACCACCACTAACCACCACTAACCACCACCGCCCACCACTAACTACCACCACCACCACTAACCACGTCACCACCACCGTCACCACCACCAACCACAATACCACTAACCACTACCGCTAATTACCACCAACCACCACCACCGTCACCACCACCGTCACCACCACCACCACCAACCACCCCTACCGTCACCACCAACCATCACGAACCACCACCACCGTCACTATAACCACCACTACTGTCACCACCACCAAAAACAACCACCACCAGCCACCACCACCGTCACCACCACCACCAGCCACCACCACCGTCACTAACTTACCACCAACCACAATCACGTCACTACCACCAGTTGCATGCCTGGTGATCGTTGTTGATGATTGTTAAGTTTTGTTGTTGGTGTTGATTGTTGTGGTTGAAAATTGTTGTTGACGATGATGCTGGTTGGTGCCTCCGTCTAACCTCTTGCATGCATCACACCACCACCACCACCACCACTAACCACCACCACTAACCACCGCCACCACTAACCACCACCACAACCAACCACCACCACTAACCGCCACCACCACTAACCACCGCCACCACCACTAACCACCACCAACCACCACCAACCACCACCAACAACCACCACCACCACTAACCACCACTAACCACCATACAACCATAAGCACCAACCACCACCACCAACCACCACCAACAACCACCACCATCACTAACCACCACTAACCACCATACAACCATCAGCACCAACCACCACCAACCACCACCACCACTAACAGCCACCACCACTAACAGCCACCACCACTAACAACCACCACCCACCACCACCACTAACCACCACCACTAACCACCACCACACCCACCACTAACAACCACCACTAACTACCACCAATCATCACCACCAACCACCACTAACCACCACTAACCACCACTAACAACCACTAACTACCACCAACCATCACCACCAACCACCACTAACCACCACTAACAACCACCACTAACCACCACCACACCCACCACTAACAACCACCACCACACCCACCACTAACAACCACCACTAACCACAACCAACCATCACCACCACTAACAGCCACCACACCCACCACTAACAACCACCACCACCACCAACCACCACCACCAACCACCACCAGCACCACCACCACCACCACCACTAACCACCACCACCACTAACCACCACCACCACAACCACCACCACCATCACCACCACCACTAACCACCACCACAACCATCACCACCACCACCACTAACCACCACCACCACAACCACCACAACCATCACCACCACCACCGCCACTAACCACCACCACCACAACCACCACAACCACCACCACTAACCACCACCACCACAACCACCACCACCATCACCACCACCACTAACCACCACCACAACCATCACCACCACCACCACCACTAACCACCACCACCACAACCACCACCACCGTGAGCGGTCACGTGAGTGGCGACGTCACCGTTTCCCGCAGCCTTTTGTTCCGCCCGCCCGCCCGCGCTGTCGCCCGAACGGCGGCCACTGCCGCCACCACCGCCGCCTCCTCCTCCTCGTCCCTCCTCCTCCTCCCTTCCTTCCTTCCTTCACGGGGGCGGGGGGAGGCAATCAGAGACCGAAGAAGCCATCGCGAAGAGAGAGCGAGAGGCGAGAGAGAGAGAGAAGGGGACGGCTCCCTCCCACCCCCCTCACCACCTCCTCTACCCATCGCTGGTGGCCGCTCTTTCGCCATTGTTACTCACCACCGCCACTAGCGCCGCTCGCCCTCATGGAGGGCGCTTTATACCGCTGTTGTTTCGCTGTGGAGACCTCTCCTCTCGCGTCAATCGACAACAGCCTCCACTAAACTCGTCCCCACACGCAGCTCGCTGCAGCAGCCGGCGTCGAGGCGTTAGACGGAGTCTGGGTGCAGCAGGGAGGCGATTCGGGGCTGGCCGAGTGGCCGAGTGTTGGGCAAATTTGTAAAACGCGGGAGTTGAACGCGCGACTGAGGCGGATCTTGGCTCGTTGAGATCGTGGTGGTGGTGGTGGGGGGCTTTGTTTTATTTCTCTGCTTTGCTGCGTTTGGAAAGGCTGAGGAATACAACATCTCCGTGACACGAAGAGGAGGAGGAGGAGGGGAGAGGCCGTTCGCAGTCCGCCTTGGGGCCGACTCGCCCCGACTCGGTAAGTCGGCGGAAAGGGGCCCCCCAGTGGGGCTCTGAGGGGTCTAGTTTGATACATTTTTGTGCTTTAAAGCGCCGCAGTTAAAGCGGCGGCGGCTTTGTAAAGTGAAGATTGATTGAAAGCGGCGTCTTAATGAGACGCAGCGCCCCCCCCCCATCCCGTTCTTCGCTGTCAGTTTCTAATTTCCAGCATCACCACCACGGCCGCCGATGTAAAGAGGCGCTCGTAGTTCCATTTAAACGTTGATACCCCCCCCCCCCCCACTCAATATATACGCACAGAATCAGCGAGGAACGAGTAGGGGAATTAAAATATAAAACGATTACAACAACACGCACAGAGAGAAATTAAACCTCGAGGTCGAGGCCTCGACCTCGCCTAGCTCCCCGCGCCCGGGCTCGCGCTCGCCCGGCGGGTGGCGTTCTAGGCAAGAAGGGGGGGCGCGCGGAGTCGACGGGCCTAGGCCTTGTGGTTGACACAAAACGCCGAATATACAAAGGCCACATCTGTCGATAGAACGCGACCTTCCCCCTCCCCTCGTCATTTTAAAACGTGTAGAGTTGTGTGTTTTGTTCGTCTCCCACGTCGCCGGGGGTTCGCTGCGCCGTTGCGTTCTGTGTCGAATTTTTCCGATCGCGTTAAACTGGCGGGACCGCTCGCCTGGATTGGGCCCAGGAGGCTTCGCTGGCGCTGACGGCGCCGAGTGGAAAATTTTAATTTAATTCCTCCACGAAATTGTGTTTTTATTCGAGGTTTTTTTCTCTCTTTCTTTACAAGACTAAACTCCCTGCACCTTAATTTGTATCAATCGACCACTTCGGGGCGTCGTTCACTCTTTTCGGTGTTTTATTTTTTTGCAAAAGCAGCGCGCCACGGGCTAATATATGCTCATAAATACTTGTAATATACTTACACAAATGTATAATACAGCTTGTTCTTTAGGTTATATCGCATAAATAATGTATATACTGTAGGTTTAAATGCAACCTCCTCACCTTACATTACCTCACTCATGGGCCCGACATGTGAATACATACTCGTAATATACGTAACTTATGTTATTTTTTAGGTTGGAATCGCGTAAATATAAATGTGTCGTTGAACCCGCCACCACCCAACAGCCAATCCGTGAGGGGTTTGTCACGTCAACAAAACATTACAATTCGTTACGAGTAGAGCAGCAGCACTTTGATGTGTTAGAGATCAAATCCACAGACACAGTACAGCACATTGCTGTGTTAGAGATCAAATCCACAGACATAGTACAGCACATTGATGTGTTAGAGATTAAATCCACAGACACAGTACAGCACATTGATGTGTTAGAGATCAAATCCACAGACACAGTACAGCACATTGATGTGTTAGAGATCAAATCCACAGACACAGTACAGCACATTGATGTGTTAGAGATCAAATCCACAAACACAGTACAGCACATTGATGTGTTAGAGATCAAATCCACAGACACAGTACAGCACATTGCTGTGTTAGAGATCAAATCCACAACACAGTACAGCACATTGCTGTGTTAGAGATCAAATCCACACACATAGTACAGCACATTGATGTGTTAGAGATCAAATCCACAGACACAGTACAGCACATTGATGTGTTAGAGATCAAATCCACAACACAGTACAGCACATTGCTGTGTTAGAGATCAAATCCACAGACATAGTACAGCACATTGATGTGTTAGAGATCAAATCCACAACATAGTACAGCACATTGCTGTGTTAGAGATCAAATCCACAGACACAGTACAGCACATTGATGTGTTAGAGATCAAATCCACAACATAGTACAGCACATTGCTGTGTTAGAGATCAAATCCACAACACAGTACAGCACATTGCTGTGTTAGAGATCAAATCCACAACACAGTACAGCACATTGATGTGTTAGAGATCAAATCCACAACACAGTACAGCACATTGCTGTGTTAGAGATCAAATCCACAAACACAGTACAGCACATTGCTGTGTTAGAGATCAAATCCACAACACAGTACAGCACATTGATGTGTTAGAGATCAAATCCACAACACAGTACAGCACATTGCTGTGTTAGAGATCAAATCCACAACACAGTACAGCACATTGATGTGTTAGAGATCAAATCCACAGACATAGTACAGCACATTGCTGTGTTAGAGATAAAATCCACAACACAGTACAGCACATTGCTGTGTTAGAGATCAAATCCACAACACAGTACAGCACATTGATGTGTTAGAGATCAAATCCACAAACACAGTACAGCACATTGATGTGTTAGAGATCAAATCCACAACATAGTACAGCACATTGCTGTGTTAGAGATCAAATCCACAACACAGTACAGCACATTGCTGTGTTAGAGATCAAATCCACAACACAGTACAGCACATTGCTGTGTTAGAGATCAAATCCACAACACAGTACAGCACATTGCTGTGTTAGAGATCAAATCCACAGACACAGTACAGCACATTGATGTGCTAGAGATCAAATCCACAGACACAGTACAGCACATTGCTGTGTTAGAGATCAAATCCACAAACACAGTACAGCACATTGTTGTGTTAGAGATCAAATCCACAAACACAGTACAGCACATTGTTGTGTTAGAGATCAAATCCACAAACACAGTACAGCACATTGCTGTGTTAGAGATCAAATCCACAGACACAGTACAGCACATTGATGTGTTAGAGATCAAATCCACAGACACAGTACAGCACATTGCTGTGTTAGAGATCAAATCCACAAACACAGTACAGCACATTGTTGTGTTAGAGATCAAATCCACAACACAGTACAGCACATTGCTGTGTTAGAGATCAAATCCACAGACACAGTACAGCACATTGATGTGTTAGAGATCAAATCCACAGACACAGTACAGCACATTGTTGTGTTAGAGATCAAATCCACAAACACAGTACAGCACATTGTTGTGTTAGAGATCAAATCCTCAAACACAGTACAGCACATTGTTGTGTTAGAGATCAAATCCACAAACACAGTACAGCACATTGTTGTGTTAGAGATCAAATCCACAACACAGTACAGCACATTGATGTGTTAGAGATCAAATCCACAAACACAGTACAGCACATTGTTGTGTTAGAGATCAAATCCACAAACACAGTACAGCACATTGTTGTGTTAGAGATCAAATCCACAGACACAGTACAGCACATTGTTGTGTTAGAGATCAAATCCACAACACAGTACAGCACATTGATGTGTTAGAGATCAAATCCACAACACAGTACAGCACTTTGCTGTGCTAGAGATCAAATCCACAGACACAGTACAGCACATTGATGTGTTAGAGATCAAATCCACAACATAGTACAGCACTTTGCTGTGTTAGAGATCAAATCCACAAACACAGTACAGCACATTGATGTGTTAGAGATCAAATCCACAGACACAGTACAGCACATTGTTGTGTTAGAGATCAAATCCACAACATAGTACAGTACATTGATGTGTTAGAGATCAAATCCACAAACACAGTACAGCACATTGCTGTGTTAGAGATCAAATCCACAGACACAGTACAGCACATTGATGTGTTAGAGATCAAATCCACAAACACAGTACAGCACATTGATGTGTTAGAGATCAAATCCACAGACACAGTACAGCACATTGCTGTGTTAGAGATCAAATCCACAGACACAGTACAGCACATTGCTGTGTTAGAGATTAAATCCACAGACACAGTACAGCACATTGCTGTGTTAGAGATCAAATCCACAGACACAGTACAGCACATTGATGTGTTAGAGATCAAATCCACAAACACAGTACAGCACATTGATGTGTTAGAGATCAAATCCACAGACACAGTACAGCACATTGCTGTTAGAGATCAAATCCACAGACACAGTACAGCACATTGCTGTGTTAGAGATTAAATCCACAGACACAGTACAGCACATTGATGTGTTAGAGAGCAAATCCACAGACACAGTACAACACATTGATGTGTTAGAGATTAAATCCACAACACAGTACAGCACATTGCTGTGTTAGAGATCAAATCCACAGACACAGTACAGCGCATTGATGTGTTAGAGATCAAATCCACAACATAGTACAACACATTGCTGTGTTAGAGATCAAATCCACAGACACAGTACAGCACATTGCTGTGTTAGAGATCAAATCCACAACATAGTACAGCACATCGGTGTGTTGGAGAGCAAAGCTGATGCTAGTTGTGATTACTGGTGAAATGTCGTGCTCTGTAAATGTTGTGGATTTGCACTCTCCAACACGCTGACGTTGTTTTGTACTAATAACGAATCGGCGTGTTCTGTTTACTTGACGAAACTTTACAGATTGTCTGTCGGGTGTTGGTGGCGGGTTTCACGACACATTTATATTTACGTGATCTAACCCAAAAAAAAACAATATTATGATTCATATACAACTCCGCGTAGGCCTTTTGTACACGATAGTTGGTGTAGAAGTTATCGCTGCGCTACAAACCTGGCCACCTGGGTTCGATTCCCGCTCACGGCCACCAACACCACCAGGCAACGATTGATCTGAACCCGTCCTGGCGCCTACTCCGCTGGGTCCACTCGGCCTCAAATAAGTAGCGGTGGTGGTGTAGTGTAGTAAACATCCCCGCTGGGGAGAGACAAAGACGACCGGGCGTGGTGCTGGCCACCCACCCCCTCGTGTGCCACAGTGTGCCGCTCTTTATAGGAGCCGCTACTCGATGACAGCACTTGCCCCAAGTCTGTTAGAGGCTACACGGGGGAGCTTTATCTTTGGTGTTTACTAAATGTGTGCGTACAGGCAGTCCTCTACTTACGATGACGACCCCATCGTAAGTCGAAGATGGCCTCGCCTACCCAGGAGTCTTAAAGAATGGTGACAATTTAGCAAAGCAGAGCAATTTTCAGTAGCGTACTGTATAAACGATATACTGTATTTATTTATTAATTACAATACTGTATTGCACAGTAAAATGTAAGTTAAAAAAACCAAGGT